CAGATTTCTTTATCGTGTTGTTGTAATGTCTACTAAAGCTATTTATACTAGTCTGATTTGTTTCTCATGTTGTCGTAATGTTTACTAAAGCTATTGATACTCGTCTCATTTATTTATCATGTTGTTGTAATGTTCACTAAAGCTGTTGATACTCGTCTCATTTCTTATTAATGTTGTTGTAATGTTTACTAATACTATTGATACTCGTCAAATTTTTTATCATGTTTACTAAAGCTATTGATACTCGTCAAATTTTTTAGCATGTTTTATCATGTTTACTAAAGCTATTGATACTCGACAGACTTCTTTATCATGTTTTTATAGTATTTACTAAAGCTATAGATACTCGTCTGAATTTTTTATAATGTTGTTGTTGTATTTACTAAAGCTATTGATACTCGTCTTATTTCTTTATCATGTTGCTGTAATATCTATCAAAGCTATTGATACTCGTCTGATTTTTTATCATGATGTTGTAATGTTTATAAAGCTATTTATATTTGACTGATTTCTTTCATAATATTAATGTAATTTTTACTAAATCTGTTGATACTCGTCTGATTGTTGTAATGCTTACTAAAGCTATTAAATGAGACAAGTATCACTAGCTCTATAAACATTACAAAATCATGATAAAGAAATCAGATGAGCATTAATAGCTTTATTAAACATTATAACAACCAGATAAAAAAATCTGACGAGTATTAATAGCTTTAGTACATATTACAAAAACATGATGAAGAAATGAAACGAGTATAAATAGCTTTAGTAAACATTACTACAATAAAATGAAAAAATGAGACAAGTATCACTAGCTCTATAAACATTACAAAATCATGATAAAGAAATCAGACGAGTATCAACAGCTTTAATAAATGTTACAACAACATGATATTGAAATCAGACAGGTATCAATAGCTTTAGTAAACATTACAATAACTTTATAAAGAAATCAGACGAGTATCAATAGCTTTAGTAAATATTACAACAACATGATATTGAAATCAGACAGGTATCAATAGCTTTAGTAAACATTACAAAACCATTATGAAGAAATCAGACAAGTATTAATAGCTTTAATAAAAATTACAACAACACGATAAAGAAATCTGACGATTATCAATTGCTTCAGTAAACATTAGAACATCATGATGAACAAATCAGACGAGTATCAATAGCTTTAGTAAATATTACAACAACATGATATTGAAATCAGACAGGTATCAATAGCTTTAGTAAACATTACAACAACATTATGAAGAAATAAGACAAGTATTAATAGCTTTAATAAAAATTACAACAACACGATAAAGAAATCTGACGATTATCAATTGCTTCAGTAAACATTAGAGCATCATGATGAACAAATGAGACGAGTATCAACAGCTTTAGTAAACATTACATTAATATTATGAAGAAATCAGTCAAGTATAAGAAGCTCTATCAACATTACAACATCATGATTAATTTACTAAAGCTATTGATAGTCGTCTGATTTCTAATGTTTAATAAAGCTATTGGTACTCGTCTTATTTCTTTATTATGTTGTTGTAATTATTACTAAAGCTATTGGTACTCGTCTTATTTCTTTATCATGTTACTGTAATATAACAACATGATAAAGAAATCTCACGAGTATCAATAGCTTTAGTAGACATAACAAGAACATGATAAAGAAATCAGACGAGTATCAATAGCTTTATTAAACATTATAACAACATGATAAAGAAATCTGACGAGTATTAACAGCTTTAGTAGACATTACAACAACAGGATAAAGAAATCTGACGAGTACCAATAGCTTTAGTACATATTACAACAACACGATGAAGAAATGAAACGAGTATCAATAGCTTTAGTACATATTACAACAACACGATGAAGAAATGAAACGAGTATCAATAGCTTTAGTTAACACCACAACAATATAACGAAGAAATGAGACAAGTATCTATAGATTTAATAAATACTACAACAACATGATAAAGAAATCACATGAGTATCAAGAGCTTTAGTAAACATTACAACAACGTGATAAAAATCAGACTAGTTTCATTAGTTTTAGTAAACATTTCACACACAGATAAACAGAACAGACGAGTATCAATAGCTTTAGTAAACATTACAACAACATTATGAAGAAATGACACTAGTATCATTAGCTTTAGTAAACATTACAACAATATGATATTGAAATCTAACAAGTATCAATAGCTTTAGTAAACATTACAACAACATGATCAAGAAATCAGACGAGTATCAACAACTTTTGTAAACATTTCACACACAGATAAACAGGGGAGACGTGTATCAATAGCTTTAGTAAACATTACAAGAAGATAATAAAGAAGTTAGACTAGTATCATTAACTTTAATAAACATTACAAGAAAATACATCCCATAAAATTAAGAGACTTTGTTGAATTTTGATTTTGTTTTTGTAAATTCTGTACATTTAATTAAGTTATTATTAATTATTTATTGTTTTAATGCAAGTGGCTATTGTTCGGAACGAACAATACTAAGGAAGGGGCAGTGTTACGACAGCGGAGGTCACGTGACGCTAGTAACACGTCACGCGCTTCTAGAACGTTCATGAAGCCTCGGAAGGTTACTAGATTTCGGTATTCTTGTACATATAAGTCGGTCAAGACGTGACGGTAAAGGATGGGTAATGTGTAATTGAGCTTCGGACAGAGAGACGTATTGTTGAGTCGAGCACGTGAGACATTCGTTGTGAATTATAGCGTTTGTTATAGCGCAACTGTGGAAATTAAGTGTATTGCAAAGTTGTATTTAGAAAGAATAAACCAGTTTTATTTAAGAAAGGACTTGTATCGCTAAAGTTTCTTCGGAAAGAAATTATACGGAAAATTAACTAACGACCAGCGACGTAACAATATGTTTATTCATTTCTGAAAGTAATATTAATTTTTCTGATAAACTCTGTAGTTCTAGGTCTAGACATCATATGTTAGTTCACTTTTGAAAGTTAGATTAATTGTTCTAATTAATTCTATAGTTCTAGGTCTAGAATTTATAAGTTTCTTCACTTTGGAATGTAATATTAATTGTTTTGATGAACATTGTATTTCAAGGTACAGACTTCATATATTACTTTACTTCTGAAAGTAATATTAATTGTTTTGATAAACTCTGTAGTTCTAGATCTGGACCTCATATGTTACATCACTTCTTAAAGTAATATTAAATGTTATGATAAACTCTGTAGTTCTAGGTACAGACCTTAAATGTTACTTCATTTCTGAAAGTAATATTACTTTTTCTGATGCACTCAGTAGTTCTAGGTCTAGACATCATATGCTACTTCACTTCTGAATATAATATTAATTGTTGTAATTAATTCTGTAGTTCTTGGTCTAAAATTTATGTTTCTTCACTTTTGAATGTAATATCTACTGTTCTGATAAACTCTGTAGTTCCAGATCTAGAATTTACATGTTACTTCACTTTTGAAAGTAACACTAATTAGTTTGCTGAATTCTGTAGTTCTAGATCTAGAACTTATATGTTACTTTACTTCTGAAAGTAATATTAAAATTTCTGATAAACTCTGTAGTTCGAGGTCTAGATCTCATATGTCATATGACTTCTGAATATAATATTAATTGTTCTGAGGAACTCTGTAGTTCTTGGCTTAGATCTTATATGTTACTCCACATTTAAAAGTATTATTAACAGTTCTGATGAACTATTCATTTAAAGATCTAGACCTCATATGTTACATGATTCCTGAATATAATATTAATTGTTCTGATGAATTCTGTAGTTCTAGGTCTTCACCTTATATGTTACTTCATTTCCGAAAGTAATATTAAATGTTCTGTTGAACTCTCTAGTGTATATAATCTATATGTTTGTTTTTTTTTGCTTCTGAATTTAACATTAATTGTTTTGATCAACTCTTTAGCTCTAAATCTAGACCTCATATTTCACTTTACTTCTGAAAGTAATATTACTTCTTCTGATGAAGTTCTAGATCTGGACCTAATTGGTTACTTAAATTGTGAAAGTAATTATAATTTTTCTGATAAACTCTGTAGTTCTAGGTCTAGAATATATATGTTGCTTCACTTTTGACTATAATACTGATTGTTCTGATGAACTATGTAGTTACAGGTCTAGATCTTATATATTACTTCACTTTTTAAAGTAATATTAAATGTTCTGATCAACTCTTTAGTTCTGTATTTAGACTTCATATGTTACATGACTTCTGAATATAATATTAGTTGTTCTGATGAATTCTTTAGTTCTAGGTCTTCACCTTATATGTTACTTCACTTCTGATTGTAATATTAATTTTTCTGATGAACACTGTATTTCTAGGTATAAAATTTATAAGTTGTTTCACTTTGTCAAGTGATATTTATTGTCTGATGAACTCTGTAGTTCTAGGTCCAGATCTAATATGTTACTTCTCTTCTGAGAGTAATATTAATTGTCCTGATGAACTATTTAGTTCTAGGTTTAGATCTTATATGTTACTTCACTTTTAAGAGTAACGTTATTTGCTCTGATGATCTCTGCAGTTCTATATATAGACCTTATATATTACTTCACCACTGAATATAATATTAATTGTTCTGAAATGTTATGAAAATTTAATTATGTAAATAAATGTTCTTAAATGTAATTTCATTTTTTTTAAATACCAATTTCAAGTAATTTAGATATATATGTAGGGAACGAGTAATTCAGCTAGTTTAACAATAAGACAGTCTATTTCCGTCTCGAGTTTACTTACTGATTAATTATATTTATTAGAAGTTACAGCTTTTATAGTAATATTTATTTTTAGGACAGGTATGTCGTTTCTGTCACTTGTGTATTTCAGAACGATCGCACCAGTGATCGAAAAGTCGTGCCAGTTCTAAAAACAAATTTTACTTACCCAGTAACTTGTAGTATAATAAGACAATCTATTAACTCCAATTTTTAGGCTCTTATAAAAGTTACAAACAAAGAAAGCAAGAAAATTTTTATTACTTAATATAGAAATTACAACGTATTTTGCTTTAACAATTATAGAGAAAAGTTTTACGATTTATACTCTAAATGGTTTAAAATATAATTTGCGGTTAAAACAAAGGAAAACAGAAGTTCTTTCTCGAACACGATGTTAAAAAAATTTCAGTTGACAGTGTTGATATTTCCACCGTCGATCCCTGGTTAGAGAAAATAAAACTATATATAGAAACACATGTAAACAATATTTCGCAAAGTACAATCTACAATGCGTTATCATTAGTTTGCCTCCAAATAATAATACAAAATATCTGTATTCCTAAAAACATTTCAAACGTTCAGTAAAATATACACAAATACTTAATCCTTTATCTACTTTATTAAGAAAACCTAAATGAATCTCTGGGATGTAATGAAAAAAAAAAGCCTGAAATTCCGAGACGTCGCTAGGCACTGGCATAAGGAGCCCTTGTCCAGATTCTATTTACAGTGCCCCGGATCCCCTGTCGGTACCTTGGAAAATCAGAATAGAAATCCATGATCGAAGTCATAGTGAAACGGCGTTCCGGTTTGTTCCGCCTCAACTCAACCACTGGTTAAGACTGTATTAACTTGCAACTGTTATGTTAATGAATTAGTCAGGATATGGTATTGAAAGGCTGACATTGTAGGTGGTTATTTAAAAGTATACTTACTGAACTTGGTTGTTGTGTTCACTGATGACCCCTGTTAAAACATAGTCCCTGGGGACATTGTAGAACAAGTCTCCATCCCAGTAATTAACATACTCTGTCCAAGTGCAAGTGTTGTTGTCTGTACATTTATTTTTGTCTTTACAGCAATAGATTTTCCATCTAAATGATCAAACAATCCTAATTTTAAAAATTCTCGCACTTTCTCTCTCTCTCTCTATATATATATATATATTATACGTATACATTAGGATTCACAGATACACGACGTTCACTAGCCCAGACAAGTTAATACGATTCCATATTTAGGCTTTAGACTAGATAATCTGATCATACGAGGCAATAACATCAGACTAGACAATCTGATCATATATCGTACATTAACTTTAGACTAAATAATCGGATATTATCGTACATTAACTTTAGACTAAATAATCGGATATTATCGTACGTTAACTTTAGATTAATTATTCGGATATTATGGTACATTAACTTTAGACTAATTAATCGGATATTATCGTACATTAACTTTAGACTAATTAATCGGATATTATCGTACATTAACTTTAGACTAATTAATCGGATATTATGGTGCATTAAATTTAGACTAATTAATCGGATATTATCGTACATTAAATTTAGACTAAATAATCGGATTAACTTTAACTTTAGACTAAGTAGTCATGAAATTAATTCACTAGGAAATTTCAAAAGTTATTATCGTTTTTGTTTAAAGTAATAAAATGAGTATAACAGATTAAAATAAATATTATTACTTTCTGTCTTGAGTGGTATTGTTATGGTAACTGCTAAAACCCGCGATCGCCTCTCCATTACCACAGGTAAAATGAATCAGATAGTCCCAGTCGTTGACGTAGTTCGTGAAATAGCACAATGGATCTTGAAAAGTTCTTTCACACACGAAACTCCAACGCCTATCCTCGTGATGGTTACTATGGATACTAGAGATAAATCACAATACTATATATATATATATATATATATATATATGCTATATTAGTAAAATAACGTAAA